AGGAAGGGGGTGATACTGGGTTGGTCACTTAGTAATTTTAAGAACCTCCCTTCGCGTCCCTTCTTCAAATTTTCGAAGATTTGGAGGAGGGACGACTCGATAAGAAGGCCGACTTAGCTTAAGACCGGAGAGTGTTAGTATACGGACGACCAGCTATCTCAGGAATCGTGAAGATTCACTCAGACTCAAACTCGGTATATTCAATCTTCAGACGGCACCATGTGCAAATATTCGGAGTACGCGGAATTCAGTATCCGAGTGCTTAACAAAGTGTGTGGTTGTTCAAGATTAAAGAATATCACTTGTTTAATGAAATTTAGAGTTTTCAAAGTGATTGGAAATTTTTGAAGTAATTTGCCTACGAATTGGAATTTTAACCCATTCGTGACGGAATCACTCTTTTTTAAGAATTTGTTATTTACTTACCGATGCTAAATTGAGGACAATATTTGTTTGAACACTCGAGTGGAACGTTTGCGTCTCATTGGTGATGAAAGGGTTAATGAAATCTTGATTGAACTCTTTGAAGCACAGAATTTTAAGACAAAAACAGACTCTAGTTGCGCAGGAATGTTACTTTAAAAAAATGTAACGAAGTAGGTATGAATTACGACATAAAACGACTAAAACTTAAAAAGAAAATGTTGAGATAATTAATTATTAGGTGGGACATAAATAATCTCACCACGAAATTTGTGCAAACAGGTTAAATTAGATTAGTTTTGTTTTCTTAATGTCTCAAGATGGGATGTAAAACATCCCTCTGTGCATACGTAAGTACTAAAAAGGTGGGTCACTTTTTACCCCACTGTGCCCCAAAGAGTTAACAGACTTTCAGATTTTAGATAGTTCGTATAATGTTTCTAAGAGTGGCAAATAGATGCTTTTTGAGTCTATTGAAAGTACACTTGAAAAGCGTATCATAAATTACAGTAAATCATTTTTCCACTTATTTTAAAATTTCTGAAATAATTGGAGGAATTACTTTAAACATTCAATAATTCGAAAAATTATTTAAAACATTTCGGAATAACTGGAAAAATGATTAATTAAAGCGAAATGGATAATTAGTTCTCATGCTGGTTTTAATAATAATTGGAACGAAGATCAGACGTATTTACTCGGAATATTGTAATTTTGTCATTGTATAATAGGACTATTAGAACTCTAGTACGGATCTCTCCGGAGATTAACAATGGAATGCATTATGAAGCAGGAGCAGCAGGTGCGCTCGATGCACCATTATACACGATCAAAATTATTAGTTGAATACAGCAACAACTATCGCTTTATCCATTGCCATTACATACTGCAATTAAATTCTTAATTATTGCCTTGCAGTTGGTATTTCGTGTAATAATTTGATTGATTACTTCTATCAAGTTTCACATGGAAAAGGATCTTATTGCATTTCTTCTTAAAAAACAACAAATTATTATTTCCATTTTATTCATTTACATTAATTAATCAGAAACTTATGTAATTTTAGAAAATAACATATGTAGAGCTATTATGGATTACTAGTCTGTAATTATTATTCGTTGGCTAATAGATCTGTTAATTAATACAATGCATTCTGTACTACTTGTACAAAACATGTAGAGCGTGAAATCAAATTTTCGAAACTGTTACACACATTCTTCGTAAATTAATTGTTTCCTACGAAATGTTGTATAAAGTTTGCTTACAGTTTCATCCAAACGATCGAAGCATCAGAAACCAGAAAAAAAAGAAAAAGGAAAAGGAACACTTAATTACATTGCAGGGAACAATTTCTTTCACGAAAGAAGCGCGCTTGCGCTCCCGAAACAAGTGTTTCAAATTCTCTCAACTCCTTCGTCACGCTAAAATACTTTTTTAATCGTATTCCACATAATTTCACTTTTCCTACTACAAGATGTCGTTAAATCTAAACAATCGAAGCATCAAAGAGTAGAAAAAAAGAATACTAAGCTGCAGAGAGTAATTTATTTATCAAAAGAAGCGCGCTTGCACTTCCGGAACAAGTGTTTTAAATTCTCTCAACTCCTTCGTCACGCTAAAATATTTTTTAAACATGTTCTACATAATTTCACTTCCCTTACTATAAAATATCGTTAAATCTAAACGGTCGGAGCATCAAAAACCAGAAAAAAAGAATACCGAGCTGCATAGAACAATTTCTTTCACGAAAGAAGCGCGCTTGCACTCCCAAAACTCCCAAAACTTGTGTTCCTAATTTTCTTAACTCTTTCATCGCGCTTAAATACTTCTTTAACGTATTTCACATAAATTAATTCTTCGTACTATAGAATATCGTTAAATCTAAACGATCGAAGCATCAAAAACCAGAAAAAAGGAATACGGAGCTGCAGAGAACAATTTCTTTCACAAAAGAAGCGCGCTTGCACTTCCGAAACAAGTGTTCCCAATTTTCTTAACTCTTTCATCGCGCTTAAATACTTTTCAAACACATTCCACATAATTTCATTCTCCCTACGCTGGAACATCGTCAAAAACGAAACGATCGAAGCACCAAAGCCCAGAAAAAAAAAAAAACTAAAAAAGGCGAAAGAAGAAGGAACACTCAACTATACATCACCAAGAACAATTTGTTTATCAAAAGAAGCCCGCGCTCGTACTTCCGGAACGAGTGCAATGTCGGAGAATGAGTGTTTTAAATTCTCTTAACTCCTTCGCCACGGTGGAATGGCGCTGAGGTAAAAAGATTTTCAGGCGTGCTTTGAGAATTTTAAGCCCAACTCATTAGGATAACGAGACAGGCATCCAGTGCCTGTGACACGAGACCTATACGTGCCTGTTTCGTATTCACGGTGCAATAGAACCCACAGTACCTCTACCTCTCTGTATCGACACACACACACACGCAAAGTGTTGTACGCTCCGTTAGCGGTGTCGGAACTGATTGAGAGATTACAAAACTTAGTTCATCCATTAATTCGAGAATCACCGACGAGCAATGTAAAACGATGTAAATTTTCGTCAGAGTTAACCAGAGAACCCGAGTTCCTCTACTCCCGTCGATTATAACAGCCGTGGAGAATGTAGAGAAGTACTGTTACATTCTCTCTCTCTCTCTCTCAATAAAGCTGATACTAATTCGCTGTCTCTTTGCTTACGTTCCCTCAAGTTCGACGATTAATCGTCGCAACGCGAGCGAAACGAGCGGAAAATAATGGAACGGAGGAATCGAGAGATGCGTGCGATCGTGTTTTAAAACGAGCTGTTACGTGGGAATTTTAGATTAGAATTTCGAATCGGTTACTGTTAGCCAACCGAGATTTACGGAAATTTGCATAACGATGAATAGTAGTAGCGATGTAATTGCGAAATAAATTAGCGAGGGAGAAATTTAACGGAAGCAGTGTGTTTCTTAATTTCACGAACATGTTTAATGGGAGAATGAATTGTATATATAACAAACGATTTAAAATAGTAAAATAGTAAATATGGAAAAATGTGTAGAAAAGAGTAGATTGTTGTTATTATTTTGTAATTTCAGTTAATTCACATGTTTATTCGAGGTTTCAGGTATTTATGAATGAGTTCGATTAACTGTATCTGCGATCTTTCGGTGATAAATTAGAAGATCCTGAGAGACTTGATAGAGTAATTCTAAGAAATGTGAAATATATCAGATCTTCCGTTAACCTTGTTCTCTTGATAATCTGCTGCTTCTCCAGGATCCTGTGTCTGTATCTCACACATAATCGGATCTTTCCTGTTACGGTCTTATTTTCTTTTTTTTTTTAATTTCTTTCGATTTAGATTTTCTTGTCGCGAAATTCGCCGTTATCCCAGTGTCATTAGCATTTTAGTGTAAAAGGTAGATGGAGAAGCGTTAATAAAGAAGAGGATGCACACCCCGAGTTGCGAGCTGTTTCACGACGCAAATTTCTAAACGTTAACCCTGGAATGTTATCCCGACAATGAGTGAATTCTCATCCAGGCTCTTCTCTACTCTTTGAATCAATGTCTTTTGTATGTCTAAATTTTTTAAAAATATGTAAAACGTGAAATTTTATATTTTCAAATGAATATAGTTAGAACCAAAAAAAGAAGCGAATACCAGGAATCAAGAATAATGAAATTTTTATTTAAAGAATCGTTGGAAAAAAGTTGTTGCTTGAGTTGAAAGTAATACCAAATCGATCTCAACGATTTTCAGATCTTTCAAAATTTAACACGATTAAAAGAATTTTAATATCTCCTTTTAAAAATTTTCTGGTCACTCCTGACCATCGCCAATGGTGCAATTTTTTAAAATTACCGTTTACCAACAATTTATATAAATCCTATGGTACTGCTTATTGTACGCCTATTTAAAACACATTGTATAAAAAAATGAAAAATCAAAAGGATACGGTTTTTTAATCGAACAATTTATGATCACTGATACCGGTTATCAATAATCAAAAAAATTTTCGTGATCAACAAAATTTCTCAGTAACCAAAAAAATCTTCGTGATCGACAAAGCTGAAAAATTTTTCTAACCGAACAGTTTTTCGCCATTGGTACCTATTGGCTGTCAACAACCAAAGAAATTTTTGTGATAGGTAAAGTTTCTCAGTAACCAAAAAAATCTTCGTGATCGACAAAGCTGAGAAATTTGTATAACCAAACAATTTTTCGCCGCTGATACTGTTTATCAATAACCAAAGAAAGTTTCGTGATCGATAAAGTTTCTCAGTGACCAAAGAAAAATTGTCACCAAAAATAATTGTTACACTACAACATTCAGGATCTCTGTTGATTACTTCTGCTTTTCAAGTGTAGATGAAATTTCACCCGGAGTATTGTTCACGTATGAATAGCACTCCAGGGTTAAACGAGGCGACATCTCGAAATTTCCATTTTCACCGGCGAGGGAGAGGAGCACAGCCGACGACAATGAAGCCGTGTCATCCCGAACGATTGAATTATTTGCAACAAGGCGTGCCAGAGGATCGGGCGAAGTTAGCGTAGCAGTCACGTGACGGGATAAATTCAATCTGCTCACCTTGTAATCTCTTCGATGAGCTTGCACGGATCCGCGGCGTAGAATTTCACACCGAAATAAAGGGTGTGGACATCCGACGTTGGATCTCCTTTTAGGACTTTCAGTTGCTTCCCGATCTTCTTGCTCGGATCGAGCCATTGCTGCAGGAAAGAAAAGAAGGAAATTCACACGTGAACGACATAGTTGAAAATTACATGTAAAATCATCGATCGAACGATCTCTCGATCGAGAGAAGAGAGCGCGTTACACGTTGATCAAGCAGACCGGAAATTACAGGCAGCTCGACATTTCCCGTGGATAATAATCTTATCCCCTTATGGCCCGGAGCCGATCCGATCGAAGGAGATCCCTTCGGGCCATCCTTCCGATGAATTTTTCATAGGAGAAGTCTAATTAACGGTAAACTGCTCGATGTCTGCATTGCTCATGGCCGCTCTACCAATTTGCCTTTGATTATAATTACAGAAGGGAACGCGTTTGTGTCGCGCACTAATTAGAAAAGCTTTTTCTAGAAAGTGAGCTGAATTTCCAGTATGCCGGGCGCGACTTTCATGTGAAAATCAAGACTCTCTCTCTCTCTCTCTCCCTCTCTCTCTCTCTTGGAATCGATCGTTTGGAAAATCTAATTTCAGCTTACGTGGAAATTCTGCTGGGGTGTGATTTATTGAGGAAGTTTGAAAATTTGATTTTGAGTTATAGGGAGACTTTTTATTCTTTCTTTGGTACTGAGTGTGTGCGGGGAATTTGGATTGAATTTGAGCTTTGATAATAAATCGCGAATTAATTGGACAGATTATTTATGGTGTATCTTAAAATGTAATACTTTCTGGTAATGTATCAGTTTTTTCTTTGATAGCGGTGTAAGATCGACTTTGAAAAAATGATTTTAACGTAGTTTTAATTACACACTGGTGTCTTCTTTTTATTATTAGGAATATCGATATAAAAAAGTGACTATTTACATAAATTCATCTAGAGAAAATCATATGATATTTTAAAATCGTGATATTTAAAATCATGATATTTTAATATTATGTCAGATGATTCTTTGTAATTAAAAAAAAATGGTAATACTTTCAATAGAAAAACATATGAACATGAAACATATCAAAGAGAAAACGTTGACTTGTACCACTTAAATAAAAAAGAAGCATACATATTTCTTTTGCAATCAAATTTATTTTTTATACATTAATAACTTTAATTCTCTATCATCTGGCATTTTTAAAGCATGTTAGAAATACAGTGGATATAAAAAGTATTTGCTCCGTTAAAAATTCTATTTTCCTTAAATTCTACACTCAAATTCCATGAAAATACCAATTTCTTCTAATCAGATTAATGCATCGCTGAAAAAGATCGAATTCAGGCACAAATACCAAAAACAAAGAAAAGAGTGTGCAAACACTACGGGTACCCAATGTAAAACTCTTGAACAGACGTTTCATCGATCACACAAAAAGTATTTGCACGTATCTACTTGTTCTGCCTAAATTTTTCACTCTAATTCCATCGAAACAGGAATCTCTTCTAATCAGCTTAATGATTCGTTGAAAAAGATCGAATTCAGACGCAAATAGCAAAAAAACAAAGAAAAGACAGTGTGCAAACACTTTGGGTACCCAATGTAAAGCTCTTGAACAGACGATTCATCGATGACACAAAAAGTATTTGCACACATCTATATAATTCTACATTAAAAATTCTGATCTGGTTAAGTTTCAAGTTTGTTCTACTCAAATTCTATCAAAACTCCCATTTGTCTTAATCATCCTATTTTCCTTAAATTTGCACTCAAATTTAAAAAAAAAAAACCAATTTCTCTTAATTGTCCTATTTTCCTTAAACTTTGCACTCAAATTTCACAAAAACACCAATTTCGTTTGATCATCCTATTTTTCTTAAATTTGCACTCAAATCTCAAAAAGATACCAATTTCTCTTAACTATCCTATTTTCCTTAAACTTTGCACTCAAATTTCACAAAAACACCAATTTCGTTTGATCATCCTATTTTTCTTAAATTTGCACTCAAATCTCAAAAAGATACCAATTTCTCTTAACTATTCTATTTTTCTTAAAATTTGCACTCAAATTTCACAAAAACACCAATTTCGTTTAATCGACCTATTTTCCTTAAATTTGCACTCAAATTTCACAAAAACACCAATTTCGTTTAATCGACCTATTTTCCTTAAATTTGCACTCAAATTTCACAAAAACACCAATTTCGTTTAATCGACCTATTTTCCTTGAATTTGCACTCAAATTTCACAAAAACACCAATTTCGTATGATCATCCTATTTTTCTTAAATTTGCACTCAAATTTCAAAAAATACCAATTTCTCTTAACCATCCTATTTTCCTTAAACTTTGCATTAAAATTTCACAAAAATACCAATTTATCTTAACCACCCTATTTTCCCTAAATTCTACACGCAAACTCCATGAAAACACGAATTTCTTCTAATCAGCTTAATGCATCCCCAAAAAATCGAATTCAGACACAAATACCAAAGAAGAAAAAACAAAGGAAAGCCAGGTGTGCAAACACTTTTGTGTACCGGATGTAAAGCTCTTGAGCGGGGAGACGGGATCGATCGATTCGGTGGAGAGAAACTTTGTTAGGTAAACAGCCGCCTTACCGTTTGATTGCCGTGATCCAGGTAACGTAGCCCGAAGTAAGCGGTTTCCAATAAATTCAGGTGCCTGAACACTCTGTCCAGCAGTTCCTGTCCGAGGTTCGAGCTCTGCGAATGAAGAAGAAGAAAAAAAAAAGATCCACGATGTGTTTGATTTATCGCGTCAATAACAATGCCGACGTTAGCGACACGGGGCGAAATTACTTCCTGTACCGACCTACATTAGTATCACACACCGGCGCGGCGGACTTTCGATCCGCGTTCGATCGAGCGTGGCGATTTAAATCGTGATGCGCACGCGTCATTGAGCACGTCGTTCCAACTGCATCAGAAACGCGTTTATATGCCTTTGCATTCGAGAGGCAACCATCTATCGATGCTGATTCCAAGGGGGAGGTTGCGCGACACGTTTCATAACGGTTCCCTCTTGGCCACAGAGAACCGATTTCCATCTGTTTCCAGCCTGGAGAACTCGCGGCGCAATATGTCATTACGCTCGCTCGGCGAATTTTCCTTCTCTCTCTCTCTCTCATTTCTCTTTACCCCCCTCTGTACCCGCTCGCGGGATAATTAACTTCTGTCCGCAGTTAGAGCAACGATACACAGCGGTCGTGATCGAGAATTATTACGTGAGATAGAGTGTAATAGAATTTCAAATCGCCGCCAGGCTCGATCTATTCGATATCGCGATAACGCGTGACTCGTTTCTTTTGTTTTTTGTTTTTTTTTTGTGTTTTCTATCTCTGTCTCTCCCTGTGATAAACAGGAGGCAAGGTGGTAGAGATTGAAGTGCTCCTTTTCTCGATCAATCTTTACTTCTTGCTGATACTTTGTGCCTTCTATAAGAGTCTTTATACGTTTTCGATGCGATGCATCGTTTATGCTGGCAAGAACAGGAAAATCGTGTTACCGCTAGTACATAAGTGGCACCTAGAGAAATTGATTTCTTGTTTCGAGATTCGTGGAAAAATTGTGGGATAATCGAGTTTTCGTGGATATGTGTCCCGTTTGTTCAATTGAATTCTTGGTTATGGAAAATGGAACTGACTGTGATTCACCGTTTAAGAGCGTTCCTCCTTGTTGTTAACGAACTTATAATTTCTAAGAAATTTTCGCAGAATATGTTAGGGACGACGTATTTTTAAGGGTCGATGAACACTACACCTATCCCCCGATTTACGCTGAAGATAGGTTCCTTAGAAAACCGTGTAAATCGAAAACAAACTAAAATGTGCATAATTCAGTCATTTATTTCAACGTAAAATAAAACTAAATATATCTTAAAAAACATAAAAATAACGGTCTATTCGTAAAATGATAAAAATATAAAGGTATACGTATGTAATTCGTTTTACATATAGAAACAAGAAGTATAAATTCAAAAATTTAACCAAAAATTTCATTACTGTTATCACTTTCGTAGACTATTGATCTTTTATTCCTGGTTGGTGTGATGTCACTTTCATCACTCGATAGTACTTGTTGCGATTCAAGTTCGATGTTAGATGAATTAGAAACAATTTCAGATCGGCGAGCCTTGGTAATGAAATCCGTAATTAACAAATGTGTTTGGTTTTTGATCAAATCTTTATAGACCTCCTCATATTGAAATCGTGTAAATAAAGTACCGTGTAAATCGGGGGATAGGTGTATTTCGCTTTCGTAAGATTTATTGCCGGTACTTAAACGACGTATTTCCAGAAAGAGTAGAGATATTTGGGAAACTGTGCAATTCAAACGTCCAACGATAAATAGTGACTCGAAGTCACGTGTCATAGGATTGACTGATTAAAAAATGACACGAGAAAATTTAGAGTTGGCAAGCAACCCGATTTTCTGTTGCTTTAACAGGTTCGCTGCCATCGACGCAGCATGTGCGGTCCAGAGTGTATTGCTTAGCGTGGTATGAATTTTCTGGTGGCAGCGACCGTGTTAACCCTTTGCAGTTCAAAGAGCCTAGTTAGTTCGCACTCATTTAGCCACTAGTTTGCCTTTATTTCAATATTTCAGCGTAATATTAGCAATGAAATATTAACATTCGATATAATTTAATGCATAAAAAAAATGGTTCGTTATCGTTTATAGTTTATAATTTATCAATGTATGGTATCTGAAGGCAAAAATTCTTACGTCGAGTTTGACTCGACATAGGACCGCAAAGGACTAACCATTTCATTGCTATCAGTGCCTATAGGCGTTTGGAAAATTTGTTTGCACTATACTGTGAGAAGAAAAATTAAAGGTGATTAGAATTTTATATTTTCATTGGAGAAAGAATTAATAATTATAAAATAATTTGCTAAAGCAATAGTGCAGCATAAATAAAATGTACCTAACTTCAAGTCACGTGGCGCTATAGAGTTAACTCTTTGAAATATAATTTCTTTTCCTGACTATGCATCCAAGCGTCAGCTACTTACTCTTTTAATACCGTATTAAACCTCTGTAAGTTTGTTGTTTTTTTGAATTTCAAAAAAACCCTTGGGGAACATATTTTCAAGATTACAAACATTCGAAAAATGCAAAAAATCGCGAACTCGATTTTTTGACACTTCTAGGCCAGAATACCCCCCTTAAGTAAGAAAAATCAATATATTACAGATTAATTAAATCTAGCAATCTTCAATTTAACAAATTAAATCGAAAATTGCAACGAAAACTCATTTTCCCTACCGATAAAACAGTTTTCATTAGATCTCGACCAAAATCTCCGACACAAGCCAGTCACTCAATATCCAATCACATTCCCAACAAACATCCCATTATCATCACGCTAACAACCTCCAAGCGAAGCGTCTAAAAATCCTTCGAAAAAACACCAATCTACTTGACCGACCACTTTCGATCATATCAAACCGCAAACAACATTTCAACGTCGTTATCTCCTCGCACAAGTGAAAACCGAGGAAAAAAGTGCTTGGAAGCGTAGCAATGCCGAAGAAAACTTCCGGCGAATGCCACAAATAGCGCGTTGCTCCGTGGTCGAGGAGCCAGTTGGAAGAGGATCGGCGGCGCACAGATCGCAGAAAGGAGTTCTCGATCAAAAAAGCATTTCCGCGATACGAGCGTTCCAGTTGCTCCGGAGTTCGCGTTTCCACGAGCATTCCCGGCTGGTTTTCACGATCGTACCATGGCATCGATGAGAAAGGAGGGGGGATAAAGAAAAGTGTAGGAACGCGAGTCGGGTAAAATAATCGAAAGGAGGAGGAGGAGGATCTGGGCTCTACTATGTCGATTTAACCGCGGGACACATCCAGCCCGGCGAACAGAGAGATTGAAATCGCCGGTTTCCGGTTCCCAGTTCGCTCCGTGGCGAGCCGTGACGCTCGTTTGTTCCCCTTCGGGGGAAACTAACGGAGATCGACGATGCGTGTTTTCGTGCTCGATCGTTTGTTCCTTCGAAGATACGCGGCCTGCGTGTATATACGTTCTCTCCTCCCTCAACTATACTACGTGGAATATACGAAGGAGGAAGAATATCCTCGAGTTTGCTCGTAATTAGCGTAGTCGCGTTACTACCTCTCATCCTTTACCCCGTCGCACACACACACCTAATAGTGTGTTTCATTCTGTCGTCTCTGTTCCTATAAACCGTTCTTCGTTCCCTCTACTCGCGAAGGATACGTTCTTGGAGGTTTCTCTCCCTCGATCGGGCTCGTTACACACAGAGAAGAGCCGCGTACTTCTTGCAAGCGCGCGCACACACAGGCGTAAATATACTGGTGGAATTCGAGGATGATAATTGAAGCTGAGGCTGATGTCTCTAACGATCCTGCGGTGGCTCGACTTTGACAAGTTGCGCGCGATATGTATTGATCATCACCAGGCCGCGCACGTATTCGAGACAATTGTTAGTTTGCGCCGTTGATGATGGCTGCCACGCTCCGTGGATTCGGTGGGGGAAGGTGTTCGACGACCCTCTCGAAACTAAGATGCCGTGGCAAATTAGCGGTGTCCTTTGAACGATCGGGGGCGAGGGACGTGTTAGATCTACTTTGTACGATTCAGAGAAAATTGGATGGGAGAATTCTTTTTTTTGGGGGAGAGGGAAGAGCAGAGTGTTTGTCGATGGTACGGTATAAGGAACTGTTCTGTTTGTTGTTATCAATATTTGTAAGGTATACTGGAGTAAAATTGTAGAAGTATACAGTAAATTCTCTACAAGAGTCAGTAAGTTTGGATTCTACAAGTGACAGTATAGATGGTCCTACGCCTAGGTCTGCGTCATAAACACGACATAATTTGAACAACATTTACTTATTAACACGTTCACTGTCACGCCAGATTTACAGGTTGCTATCAGACGGTCACAATAAAATACATTTTAAGCATAGGATTATAGTATTATGCTTTATAATTTTTTTTTTTTCAATTGAAAATAATGTCTAGCTAGCTATGACGTTCAAAATTTTTAGTTGACACTCCAGTCACTGATGACCACCATGGCCATATCGAGGAAACAATCTAATGTTAATACTTATTGAGTGATTAATTTAATTTCATAATATATCGCTTTAGCGTGCCACCGTTTGGTTGCCAATTGTTTATCACATAAAGTCGGCCTACCTCCACGTTAAAAAAAATAAAATGTAGGGTCGATTCCACAAGTGTCGGTAAAATGCAGGGTCGATAGCAGCAGAAAAGCTGCTAAACAATTAGAATTAAATATAACGATAGAAATTATTGCAATAATGCGTAATAATGAAAGAATCAAAAGAAAAAACGCGAATTCATATCTTTCTCGATTCTAGAATATAAGAAAATTTGAATAAAATACGCGACGAGAATTGGGGAGAAGCATAAGTTAAACGCGTAAAAATATTCAATAATAAACGAACTAGGGATGAAGCTATTATTTCAATACGCGATGCACTGACTCTAGTATTTACTAAAATTCAAAAATTCTCGTATAAATTCCGAAAATAGATTATTAATTACGGTAAACTACTGAGACGGTTTAATTAAGGGTGGGCATGGTGCTGCTTTAGTTTGAAATGATTTATAAACACATAATTAACAGAGGAAAAACCGTGAAACGGCAAAACGTCTACATTCTAATTGTTATAACATGTAAACAGAACTTTAAATTTAGTGTAAACAGAAAAAAT